TAACTATTGTGTCACTCAGATACCTTATTTATTTTTTCAATAATAGCCATATATTAGTAAAATAATGTCTGCAAGTTATGTAATAATGATTAAATTATTTCATGAGATACAGATTTCCAAATTTTGCCATTTGTCGTTCGAGCAGGCATGTTTGGCAATTTTTAGAAAACTAAATAAATTTTTAATAAATATTATTACTTTATATTACAAGCAAGTTGTACCAATAGTTTGTTTGTAAAAGGTTTTCAAATTCTCCTAATTTTATTGTTTTAATTATTCACTTTCAAACTTGCCCCCTCCATCAGTGCGCGTTATTGCAACTGTCCACCTCTCCCTGCCTTACGATTTTTCTTGTCTCCAAATTTTTTTTCTGGTCAAAACTAAGTGTGGATTCGTTTATACCAGACACTAGACAATGTCATATAAAAACATGAGTTGATTTAAAAATGTCAACCAGCCACCCTTTGGTCGATCTTATCTGAAATCACCCAGATATAAAAAAATATCTTGTTTAATGCATTATAAAGAAATGAATATATATAAGTGGTAAATTATGAAATTATTGTGAACACAAATGTGATGAAATATTACAGTGACGAGGAACGCATACTCCAGCTAGCAGGCACCAGCGGCGGCACGTGGAAAACAATGTCTGCTAGGAACCCAAACGCGATGCACCATTGTGAGCTCTTTTTCAAGGTTGTAGACAAGTCGTCCGATTCTCCCGCCTAGACCTTTTATCCTCGTCGTCGTCCATCCCTTTCGATGGCGTGACTGGCGTAACCGTGAGACTCCGACGTGGTTCGTTTCTGCCAAGCACTATTTAGCTAATTTAGTGAGAACTTTGCAGAAAAACGGACCAGCTAAACAAAGAAAGCTCGCCCACCTCGAAATCAAAACTCGTAAACGCAGATGATTTCGGGCCAGTGTAACCAGACGGATTAGACGTTTTAGGGCAAGAATAATTTAGGTGCGCCCTTAGACTTAGAGGAAAAAGCATAAAGTGCCGCAAAAGCAAACACAAATAATATTTAAATTTTAAATGTGATATTTCACACACGATAATCAAAAACTGCGCATCAAGCCGATTTCGAGGAACAATTGTTTATCACATCCTCCTTTCGCGGTTTATCAGGGATGAAATCGACATCAACTCAAAGTGCTCCGTTTATTTGTTATGTAATTCAGAACGATGTTTACTATGGGTACCTTCAGCTAAGGTACCTAAGCTAAAGGTACCTAAGGTAAGGGAACCTTTACGCTGCCTTGTGAATTGGGTATAAGAATGTTCTTTCTGATACATGCATTGGTTGGCTGGCATCAAGCACCAGCCAATCAAGGGCAGAAGTTTGCTCTTGGCCGCTCATGGCAAGTGTTTTGAGGTGAGTGATTAATGCCTATATGGGTTGTGTGTTTCATTCCTCACAGACACACTATTTTTTGTTCTTATAGTGTTCTTGTATCAGGCATTTGTGAAAATGTCCGGCCAAAGCATCTGTGTTATACCAAGACCAGGTTGAACATAGTTGCAGTTGCGCACACAAGGACAAGGACAGAGAAGAGGAACACGTAGACTACAGACGAGCACACACACACAACTCATGTATTTACGAAAGAGGAAAAGAAAGTGGTACAGAACGCGGAATCCGCTCGAGCGTTGGCCGCACAGGCATGAGGGACCACAGGCCCAAGGGCTCGAGGGGGACACGTAAAATTACCCACACGAAAAAGATTGTAAGAAGACAATTTCCTCCTCTGTTAATGAAACAGACGGAAAGCTAACACATCGCTCGGCCATGCTTAGGATAATAAAGGCTTCAAAAATCTTTCTGGTCCGTTTTTCTCGGCACCTGTCTATTATCTCGGTTTTTGCTAAGGATGGCGTACAATTACAGCATTTTTTTTATTTATTGATACTGCTGGCCGCTAATACGCAGCCAAGGCAGGAGATATACACAATAAAATGCACTTGAAAATAAAATACATAGGTGTGGTGGCGTTACAACTCGTAGAGGAATAAAGGGCCAACAGATGCCCTTGATAGGATTCTTCCCATGCAAAGAATGACTACACAAAAGGATCTTTTAGAACTACACGTCACAAAAACACACGTAAACATAAAAACACAGTACAGACCTATAAAAAAAAAAGAAATATCTAAAGCATGACTAGTAGAAAAGCACAATCACAGACAATCAAACCAAATCATACGCATGTAATATCAAACAACATCCGATTGCTTTAACTTAGCTGTGAACGACAATACGCAATCTGTGGAGGCAATTTCTTGTGGGAGCAAGTTCCATTCATGAATCGTACGTGGAAAGCAGGAATATTTGAAGCAGTCAGTTCTACACCTTATTTCAGTGAAAGATTTGCAGTGCTTCTTCCTTGTTGGCCTACTAGTATTGAAATGAAGGTAATTGCTGTAGTCCAAGTTGAAATTGTTATTTAATAGGTTGAAAATGAACTTCAGTCGGCTAATTTTTCTACGTTTTTGTAAACAAGGGACACCGCTCTGGACATAAAGTTCTGAGATTGATGTGTTTCTACCGTATGTGTTAAAAATAAATCGCAGCGCTTTTTTCTGAATTCTTTCCAACTTATTAATATTTGACTTTGTGTGAGGATCCCATACCACATCAGCGTATTCCATCAAAGACCTGACGAATGTCTTATACGCGATTAGCTTTGTATTGTTGTAACAGTCTTTTAGTCGCCGTTTTAAAGTCCATAATGTGCCCATTGCCTTGTGAGTAATGAAGTCAATATGTGAATTTCAACGCAGATCAGACGTTATTACTAGTCCCAGGTATTTGTATTGGGGTACTGTGTTGAGCGCGGTTCCCTGGAGGCAGTAGCTGGAGGGGAGTGGATTTTTTTTTCCTGGTTATTGTCATATGAGCACATTTCTTACAATTAAGGGACATTTTCCAGGTGTCGCACCATGTAGAAACCATCTCGAGACTCCTGTTTAGAATATTTTGATCGTTAGAACATTTCACTTCTTTATAAATAATACAATCGCCAGCAAATAAACGAATTTGAACAGAGGGGTCTACTTTAAGGTCATTAATAAAAATAAGGAGAAGCAGTGGTGCCAGTACGGATCCTTGGGGCACCCCGGATCCAACTGCTGCTGTCGAGGAACGGGCGTCTTGTATTTGAACGAACTGTTTTCTGTTGCCTAAGTATGCTTCTATCCATCTTAAGATCTGGTCGTTATTTAGTATTGCTCTGAGTTTAAGAAGAAGATTTTTGTGCGATACTCGGTCGAATGCCTTCGCAAAATCTAAAAAAAATTACGTCCGTCTGAAGGCCTGAATCAATTGTTTTTGCAAAGTCGTGGATCGTATGCGCAAGTTGTGTAATCGTTGATAGACCCCGTCTAAAACCATGTTGCCCCGCATTAAAAAAAACATTTTCTTCAAGAAATGAAACAATATGCTTGTATAAAACGTGCTCAATTGCTTTTACGCTACTGCATAGTAGAGACACAGGTCGGTAATTAGTAACGCAACGAATATCACCTGCTTTGAAAATAGGGACAATTTTGGCAGTTTTCCAGTCACCGGGGATTTGCCCTAGTTCAATTGATTTATTAAAAAGAACGAATAAATAGTTAGATGACTCAGCATACCTTCTCAAAAATATGTATGGAATCGTATCAGGCCCCACTGATTTTTTAGTGTTAAGGTTTAGTAATGCCGCAGAAATGCCTTCCTTGGTGAACGTAATGTGCGGAATGTGATGTTGGGGCGACCCACTCTCTGGAGTTTGATGATTGTCGGAAGTATATACCGAGGAAAAGTATTGATTGAACGCGCCAGCAATCTCAAAAGGATCGTTGATATCTACTCCGTTTTGTTTTATAGTACAGACTGGTTGCTTTGATTGGGTTATATATCGCCAAAACTTCCGAGGATCCTATACCAAAAATTTCTCCAAAGTCACGTTATTTAAGTATTGTTTTGACGTATGGATCATTGCCCTTAGTAGCCTACGCAGATGTGATATATTAAGCTATCTCTTTTCCGCTTCTTAATTCGAATCCTATTAATTTTTCGCTTAAGATGTAAGATATCTCGGGTTATCGAGGGGTTCCTTTTTCGTATACGCTTGCAACGTGTTGGTACAAACTGGTCAGTACAAGTATGCACTGTGCTTTTAAACGAGAACCATAAGTCATTGATAGTTATTTCGTGTGTACTTAGTTCACAAAAATTTTCAAATGCCAGTTCAAGGTGGTCTAAAATGCTTTTATCTAGCGCTCGTGTGAAATTAGGAACTTTGACTACCCGGGCTGCTTCCTTAGTGTTCAGCCCTCCAGTGAATTCGCACCAAATTAAGCGGTGATCTGATATTCCTTCCCGAACATAACAATTGAACATTTTGTTAGAAAGCTCATTAGATATAAAAATTAAGTCAAGCATGGTGCTACTTGATCTTGTGATTCTCGTTGGACACGTGACTATTTGTGACAAGTCGTTTGCAAAGGCCATGCTTGTCAGAAGCTCCGAATGCCGGCAGTTAGGGTTCAAAGGTGTCAAGGTTTCCCAGGTGATGTTGGGAAGATAAAAGTCTCCTGCGACAATCATGTTTGCAAAACGAGGACTTTGAATATTTACAAATTCATATAGGCTTTCTAGTACACCTTCAGGAGCATTCGGCGGCCGATAGACGCCTCCAACGAGAATTGGGCTGTTATTAATGCGTATTTTCACCCAAACCGACTCTATGTTCGCAGTATCTTGAAATAGGGTTGCATCTATATCTTTTTTTAATAACTATTGCTACACCTCCCCCTCTCGATTCACGATCTTTACGAAATATTTGGTGCGTTGGTGGGATAACTTCATCATTTATAATGCTGGAGTTCAACCAAGTTTCTGTTATTACAATTATGTCCGGATCTTCAGACAGTAACATGTGTTCAAGTTCAAGAGTTTTATTTGCTATGCTTCTTGCGTTGACATTGATAAGAGTGAAGGAGCGCGATTCTAAACACCGATGTCATTCATCGTGAGGCTGCCCTCTCTGGCGGTTCGCTGCGTCGTGCTTATCAGAAGGCGAGTGTTGTTTTCAGTGTCCCATTGATAACATGAGTTGCCGAGAATCAATTTGTCATATTTAAGTATTACTTCTTCGCCCTTGTCACGTTCTTTCTTGGAGCTGTTCCAAAGCAACTTTCTTTTCTCTCTGATGTGAAACGAGAAGTCTTCAGATATTGAAATTCTAGTACCTTTCAGCCTACGCGCGTTTTTTAGTATATTTTCTTTCACATTAAACTCCCGAAGCTTCATGATTACCGGCCGTGGCTTTCCTGTTGATGGTTTTCCAATCCTATGCAGCCTCTCTACCTCAGCGTTTTCAATGTCCAGTTTGTCGCGTAGAATTTCCGAGACGACAGCTTGCTCTAAGTCACTTTTAGTTTCGTTTTGGCTTTCAGGAATTCCGAAAAATACTAAGTTGTTCCTGCGCATTCTATTTTCTAAATCGTCTACCTTATTCTCTAGGGAGCCGATTGTTTGCTTCAAAGTAACCATGGTAGTGGAGCAAGCGTCAATTTTTGTTTCAACGTTTTTGAAGGATTCGACACACTTTTCAATCCCAGTCATTCTAGCTTCGACTTTACGTTGGTTCGATTTGATTTCATTGAATGCTCCAACGATGTCTTGCTGACGTTCTAAAAGTTTGTGGAGCGTTTTGTCTATTTCATTCAAAGTGATTGGTCCCGGGTTACTCTCAATGTCCCCCGAGACCAAAAGAAGATAACAAACAACGTCAAGGCACTCCGAAGCAATACATAGTAGCCGTTGTGGGTGTGGCAGCACAATAAGACACAGGGCGTCACTTTTCAAGCCATAATGGCGTTTGCCACTAACCTGTATGACGAAGAGTGGTGTTATCATCCTGCTGCGCTGACCGCCACACCCACTGAACCGATCCACGCTCGTCGTTGCTGATATAGTCGTTTCCGATGACGTTGCCGATGATGGTCGCTTGGTGACGCCTTGATCTGTGCGGACGGATCCGTTCGTGGTTAGTGGGGGCGGTACCCGTGGCAGTCGGACCGACGTGGCAAAAAATGCCCTGTCGGAGAAGTCGCCCATGGCTCGCGTGTTATCGCCGGCTGCCGCGATGCTCGTGTTGTCCGTCTTTTCGATGTTGGTCCCTCCAGCCAAGCTCGGCGGTAGTGATCCCATCAGCAGGGCAATCTGTATGACGAAGAGTGGTGTTATCATCCTGCTGCGCTGGCCGCCACACCCACTGAACCGATCCACGCTCGTCGTTGCTGATATAGTCGTTTCCGATGACGTTGCCGATGATGGTCGCTTGGTGACGCCTTGATCTGTGCGGACGGATCCGTTCGTGGTTAGTGGGGGCGGTACCCGTGGCAGTCGGACCGACGTGGCAAAAAATGCCCTGTCGGAGAAGTCGCCCATGGCTCGCGTGTTATCGCCGGCTGCCGCGATGCTCGTGTTGTCCGTCTTTTCGATGTTGGTCCCTCCAGCCAAGCTCGGCGGTAGTGATCCCATCAGCAGGGCAATCTGTATGACGAAGAGTGGTGTTATCATCCTGCTGCGCTGGCCGCCACACCCACTGAACCGATCCACGCTCGTCGTTGCTGATATAGTCGTTTCCGATGACGTTGCCGATGATGGTCGCTTGGTGACGCCTTGATCTGTGCGGACGGACCCGTTCGTGGTTAGTGGGGGCGGTACCCGTGGCAGTCGGACCGACGTGGCAAAAAATGCCCTGTCGGAGAAGTCGCCCATGGCTCGCGTGTTATCGCCGGCTGCCGCGATGCTCGTGTTGTCCGTCTTTTCGATGTTGGTCCCTCCAGCCAAGCTCGGCGGTAGTGATCCCATCAGCAGGGCAATCTGTATGACGAAGAGTGGTGTTATCATCCTGCTGCGCTGGCCGCCACACCCACTGAACCGATCCACGCTCGTCGTTGCTGATATAGTCGTTTCCGATGACGTTGCCGATGATGGTCGCTTGGTGACGCCTTGATCTGTGCGGACGGACCCGTTCGTGGTTAGTGGGGGCGGTACCCGTGGCAGTCGCACCGACGTGGCAAAAAATGCCCTGTCGGAGAAGCCGCCCATGGCTCGCGTGGTATCGCCGGCTGCCGCGATGCTCGTGCTGTCCGTCTTTTCGATGTTGGTCCCTCCACCCAAGCTCGGCGGTAGTGATCCCGTCAGCAGGGCAATCTGTATGACGAAGAGTGGTGTTATCATCCTGCTGCGCTGGCCGCCACACCCACTGCAGTGCAGCGATAGATGGCCCTTCACCGTAGGCCTTAGAGAGAGGTTGTGCTCTCCTAGCGGGTCATTCACAGGCCGTCCGGTCTGTCCAACGTAGCTTTTACCACATGAAAGGGGGATACTATATACTACACCCAGGGAGCAGGGCACATAAAAGTGGGAGTGGTTCTTGTGGCACATAAGTTGTTTTTCTTAGATTGTTTACCTTAGCATGGGGACTTTTTGACAAATTTGGGCCATTTTTTTTTGGGGGGGGGGGGGGGGGGGGGCTGACATCACTAAAGGGACCCCGTACCGGCTAGCCACCTTTTTAAGATTGTGGGAAATTCTATGCATATACGGGACGACCACAATTCTTTTTTCGTCAAAAGTGGGCTTAGGTTTTTGAGCCTCTTTCACTCTCTTGACCAGTGTTCCCACTAGCTAAGTCAGCACCTGCATTGGAAAGCCCGTGGATGACAGCCTCTCATTTTGAGCTTCGAAACTACATTGGAGGGTATGAAAAGAAGACTTATTTAAGGCGCTTGTAAGGCATGCCATAGCTATACCCCTTTTAACCACCTTGGAGTGAGAGGACATGTAGTTTAGGATGCCTTCCTTGGAACGAGGGGAAAAGGTCCAGCACAGGTGATTAGGCAGCAGGGAGAGCGAAAGGTCCAGAAATTGCAAAATTCCTTCCTATGGCGTTTCACAGGTGAGGACAAGTACTAAACCAGATTTGTGAAAAATGTCTATTGTCTTGCAAATAACATCATCATCGACTGTTTTATGTGTCACATATGTGTAACATATGTGCCACAAGAACCACTCCCACTTTTATGTGGCCTGCTCCCTGAGTGTAGTATATAGTATCCCCCTTTCATGTGGTAAAAGCTACGTTGGACAGACCGGACGGTGTATGAACGACCGGCTACGAGAGCACAATCTCTCTCTAAAGTCTACGGTGGGGAGCCATCTACCCCTGCATTGTAAATCCTGTAACTGTAGGCCATCCTTAGAAAAAACCAAGATATTAGGCAGGTACCGAGAAAAACAGACCAGAAATATTTTTGAAGCCTTTATCCTAAGCATGGACGAGCAATGTGTTAGCTTTCCGTCTGTTTCATTAACAGAGGAGGAAATTGCCTTCTTACCTAAAGGAAAAATCTATTAATGTAACCCTGTTTGTCAGTCAATGCTTTCTTGTGTACCGCTGACTGTGCCTGACTGTACGTCGAGCATGTCTGATTGCCCAACAAGTTACTCTGACCGACAGTCAAACTCCAGTCAGACTCCACTTGTCGGCTTTCTGATCGTTTCCTGGTCAGAATCGCCGCCATGCCATCAAGTTGTCTTGGTGGCGATTCTGATTGTACATCGATTGTCTCTAACTGTACCTCAAAAAGCTTTGACGTGCAGACAGACGTACGGTCAAAGGACGTAAAGTTCGTTCGGATACCACTATTTCGCCAAATCTATGAATACAAAAAAACAATCTATGCACACGAAAACGATTTCGGGACGTGAGCCCATAAAACCGCTGATGTTAGAGATATGACAAGCAGCCGACGGATAACCTTGATCAGAAGCCCGCCGAAACGCCGAACACGCCACTTCGCTTCGCCCATAGAGGCTTCGCCGAGCTTTCATGAACGATCGCTCTCGATTCGTTTTGTTTGCCCGCTTGCTCGAACCTGCCGATCCTGCCAGGGCTCTACAATGTCTTATGTTTTAGTAGAATTTCTACTCGACAAGACCCAGCCTGTTGTGAGTTCCGACGATGTAAGGGACTTTAGCGGTGTAGTTGAAGATGACAAGGTGTACCAGGTCTACTAGGCCGGAGACGCGCGAAGAAAAGGATCGTTCTACGACGCGAAAGTACTCTACATGGCAGGTGAGTAGAGCTGAAGTACGGCGAGTGATGTACGGGTGCTTTGCTTAACACGCTGAAGGCTTAACTGCATTTGCAGCCGATGCATCTCGTATAAAACGAATGGTCAAATTGAGTTTCCAAAGCGATGGCATAGCATAGGGGTTAAGGTGTCCGATTTGTACGCAAGTAGTCGCGGGTTCGATCCGCTGTGGTCCTGCATTTTTTTTTTTTCACGAACATTTTGTCTTATCGAGGCATTTGGCGATATTTATGAGTGCGTATAGCTTTACTCTTATATAAATGCTGCCCTTGTTGATGAAATTTCCTTGGCAGTGGCAGTCAGACGTCATGTGATGGACCATCAGATTACGTCTGATGGTCCATCACGTTCCACCAAGGGTGCTTGCTGACTGGCAGTCAGTGTCCCAAATTATGTATCTTGATGGAATTTTCAAGAGGGTACAATCTTTTTCGTGTGGGTAATTTTACTTGTCCCTTTCGAGCCCTCGGGCCTGTGGTCCCTCGTGCCTGTGTGGCCAACGCTAGAGCGGATTCCGCGTTGTGTACCACTTTATTTTCCTCTTTCGTTAATACATGAGTTGTGAGTGTGCGCTTGTCGGTCGTCTACATGTTCCTCTTCTCTGTCCTGGTCCTTGTGTGCGCAGCTGTAAATATGTTCAATATCTACCAACTCGCCCAACGGTCAAATCTACTAAGACCAGGTTAATCATAGCCACCGCAAGGGTGAAGTCCGACTAAGATGGGGCTTCTGATATGCACAGGAACCTGCAACAGAAGCCTGCCGTTGACCGACGGGCGGTTTGCATTTCCCGCCAAAGTGGTGTTTTTTGAACAAGATGAGCTAGTCTCTTGGTGAACCCTGTATGCTCCTTATTTAAGAGGGAAAGTCACTAAGTCACAAACTTATTTGAAATAATTGATATAAGTAGTGACTAGGTTTCCTAAACGTCAATCGGTGCAAGACAATGATATTCATATTATTCACTGTGAAGTGACTGTATAACTGACGCGCATATGCGCAGCTCAATTTACAACTGGCGACTGTGCTGAGCGGGGACAAGTTTTTTTGTTTTGTTAATCGTCCAAGGCACGGTGTTTTACTGAAGGTGAGGTATGGTCCCGTTACAAGTGGTCCATGTTTTATTTGTCACAGACATTATTTGCCACATCAGGTTTTGTCTTGCTTCTTTTCTGCAATATAAAGTAAAATTGCATTTTACCTGATAAGTTCAGGTTTCCTCAGACGAAAGCGTAGGCTGGGGCTGAGACAAGCTGTTCTTTTTTTAACCGGCCCAGGCACATTGCTTAATTGAAAGTGAGATATGGTCTTCTACCAGACTTACTCGTCACAGACATTATTCGCTGTATTAGATCTTTCTTCTCTTCTGAAATGCCAATTGGTTTTCAATGAAATCTGCATTTTCCCTGGCAATTACAGGTTTTCCGCACCTGAAGCGCAAGATGCAGCATAGACAAGTTTTTTTATTTTTTTGTTAATCGCCCGAGGCCCAATGCCGTTGTTATACTGGAGGTGAGCTACATTGGTCCCTTCCAAAGTGGTCTCTGCCTTTTTTGTCACGGACATTACTTGCTGTATCAGATATTTTATGCCTCTCACCTGCAATGCCAATTGGTTTTCAGCTAGAACCGCATTTTCTGTGATAAGCGCAGGTTTCCTCAGAGAAAAGCACTAGGTGCCGAAATGTGCTGCCCTTCCCTTATGGCCTAGACCAGTTGCATTCATCTAGGTGAGCTGGGCTCTCTTTGCAGATGGAGCAGGATAATTCATATTGTGTATATGTCAGGGCTACCCGGGTATGTATTGTTTTGACGGCCTTGTGCTTAGCTTATGACTACATACATATTTATTTTGCATGTGCAGAGAGCGGTGAGATAGCCCTATACCTCGAAAGGAGCATTCATGAAGGAAGTTCAGACATAATAAAGAGCTACTATAATTTCACTCGTTTTTTGTAGTTTACAATGAGCTCGAAGGAAACAGCTACAGAGCGCCAAGGCAAAATAATCTACAAATAACCGACAAAACTATTTTGTGTTTTTGCTGCTGTCTCAATTCTGGACCCCTTCTCAAGGGTGTTTATGTTGTGAGAATTTGCTGCCGATATGACTCTTTAATATGCTTCGGCCAGCTTGAGCTGCACTTTAGAAAACCTCGAGGT